TAGAATCCACTCGGTAAAACATCTAAACTATTGGGACCGACTAAAGAGCCTAAAACTGTACTCCCTTGAGCGCAGGCGGGAGAGGTACATAATCATTTACACGTGGAAAATATTAGAGGGGCTGGTCCCAAACCTGCACACAGAAATAACATCACATGAGACCAGAAGACATGGCAGGATGTGCAGAATACCCCCGTTGAAAAACAGAGGTGCAACTGGTACTCTGAGAGAGAACTCTATCAACATCAGAGGTCCGAGACTGTTCAACACGCTTTCACTACACATAAGGGGCATAACTGGCCGACCCCTCACAGTGTTCAAGAGAGAACTGGATAAGCACCTCCAAAGGATACCTGATCAACCAGGCTGTGACTCGTACGTCAGGCTGCGAGCAGCCGCGTCCAACAGCCTGGTTGATCAGTCCGGCAACCAGGAGGCCTGGTCGACGACCGGGCCCCGGGGACGCTAAGCCCCGGAAGCACCTCAAGGTAACCTCAAGGTATCTTGTGGGTGGTAGTGGAAAGGGTTACAGAGGAACATAATGGGCTTAGAGACTGAACCTCTCAATTCATTTAGCTAAGCAATTTACAAAATTCAATGTACATCGTCACATCAACAATGGGCTGGAGACCGACCACAAGTACAGCTTTTAATTTTAGCAACTGACATATGTGGAGAGCTAGTGTCACAAGTGATATGTTTATCCTGCAAGCTAAGGATAAGGATAAACTTAACCTGTTTATCCGTACATTACCTTATTCAAGGTAAGGTAGGGTGCACCCTGGCCACCCTATCCAGTGGGCAGCAGTGGATAGGTTACAATCACTCAATTACTACCTACAGTTAGCAAACTGGAGATATTTAGCTAAGATTTCTGGTAGCAGATAATTTTGAATGAAATATTTACACATATCTTGAACATTTGTTATAGAATTGTCTCTGAATTCATGTATCTTTCCACAATCCATTACATAGTGACGGAGGGTGTGCGAACTACTGATGTAGTCCTGACCAAATGTAAGCTGTCAACAAAATTATTCACAATATTCATAAAGAAATGTAAAGTACCAGTAGTGTGAGTGCTCAGTGTAATATGGAGAAAGAGCCTGGATAAAAGGGAGCAACCTAGCCTCCAAAATGACAGTACGGTTTAATGCTAAGTGTAATAAGTACATTTCCTGACTGTCATACATAGTACATAATTGCACTTACAGGGCTGCTACATTTACCTCCCCCTTTATTCTCCTCGTTTTCTGTTAAGACACTCTGAATTAAGTTGAAGTTTTCAAGTTCAATTCGCTATACACGTTTTAAATATCAGGAATTTTTTTCAGTTTTATTAAACAATAGAGATTTTATACAAAATTTAAAATATCCTGAGTTACTTTACAATTTATTGAAATATTTTAGTTTTGCTTTATTTGTTTTTATAAGACTGTAATATCAATATAGCTATAGGTTAAGTACTAATTGTAATTAAGCAGCAATAAAATGCTTATCTTCAAATCTATGAAGGTTAGGTTAGATCGTTGTTTTCTATTCGGCTTTTCAGGTAAACTCAAATATTCATAATATATTTGACAGTACACTGTATGGTTTAATACTAAGTGAAAATAAGTAAAATTCCTGACTGCTAGGAAATAGTACATAATTACACTTTACTTGTGCTGTTACATTTACCTCCCCATTTTTGGAGGATGGGCTGAAGAGATATACCAGCAGCACTTAAATCAGCAGATATAGCTTCTCTGCACAAAGGAGGTAGTAAAGCTGTGGCAAAAAATTATAGACCAGTTGCGCTAACATAACACATAATAAAAGTTTTTGAAAGAGTGATTAGGAACCAAATTTCTAGTTTTATGGAAAATAATGAACTACACAACCCAGGACAACATGGATAAGATCCAGTCTGTCACAGTTACTCAACCACTATGACAAAATCACAGAAGCCTTAGAAGAAAAGCAAAATGCAGATGTTGTATACACAGACTTTGCAAAGGCATTCAAAAAAATGTGACCATGGAGTGATAGCCCATAAAATGAGATCAATAAGAATAACGGAAAAAGTAAGGCATTAGATTTTCAAATTTGTCAAATAGAATGCAGTGTGAGATGGTCAATCAAATAAGATGTGCAAGTGAAGTGCACATCCAAGCTGCACTCCCAAGTGCAGTGAAAAGCTCTACCCCAGGGCACAGTCCTTGCACCACTGCTATTTCTCATTCTTATCTCGGATATAGATAAAAATACTAGTCACAGCTTCATGTCATCTGTTGCAGACGATACAAAAATCAGCATGAAAATTTCCTCTGTGGAAGACACTGGAAAAACTGCAGACATATATTAATGAAGTACAGTATTCGATTAGGCAACAGAAAATATGATGTTTAACTGTGACAAATTCCAGGTACAGTACAGTACTTAAGTACTGTACTGTATGGTGGAAACAAGGAAATTAAATGAAACATAGGGTACAGGACACATCCAGATCTACTCATAGAAGGAAAGCATCATGTAAAAGATCTGGGAATTATGATATCTGACGACTTAACATTTAGTGAACATAACTGAGCAAATATAGCGGCAGCCAGGATAATAAGATGTATTATGAGTGTTCAGAGCACCTTGAAGTGTTTCCAGGGCTTAGCGTGCCTGCGGCCTGGTCGTCAACCAGGGATTAGAGAGAACATTACGACACGCATAGAAATTATTAAACATCTAAATTATTAGGACCATCTCAAAGCTCTCAAAATGTACTCTTTGGAAAGGAGACGAGAAAGATATCAAATAATTTATGCATGGAAGATACTTGAAGGCCAGGTCCCAAATTTGCACAGTAGAATAAGAACATACTGGAATGAAAGACACGGAAGGAAATGCAGAATAGAACCAGTGAAGAGTAGGGATGCCATAGGCACAATCAGAGAGCACTATCTGAACATCAGAGGTCCACAGCTGTTCAACACCCTCCCATCAAGTATTATAAATATTGCTGGAACAAAGGTGGATGAATTCAAGAGGCACTTAGATAAGTTCTTGCAAGAAATATCAGACCAACCAGGCTGTAGTGGATATGTAGGCCTGTGGGTCACTCCAAACAACAACCTTTTGGACCAAGTTACCACAAGTTGAGCCTGGCCTCAGGCCGGTGCTAGGGGAGTAGAACAACTCCCAGAACTCTCTCCAGGTATGCTCCAGATATGCCAGTGACCTTGTTGTAATAGCACTAAACAAATTATTAACCAATCTCATAGGTAAATGGGGAGATGCAGTTTACTTCTGGTAATTAATTTTTTTTTTTTTATTCATGTTTGGACATTAGTGTGGCGTTAGTTTTGGATTTGATGAAGTTGAAAGAGGCAACTCAGATTTTCTTATTACTGTACTGTGACACAGACGGCAGTCAACATAAAGCCAACCTGCTGCCATTTCCCAGGGTACCAAACAGCAAAACTCCAGTGCAAGCTTGCAAGCCCGTCTAATTCTTTTATTGGAGCACAGAGTTCCCCTCGTATATTAAGCGTTCCTCTAAATGCTATTAAGAACATTCGATCAATTGTGAATGGCAAGTGCACAGTTTATGAAAATTTGTTGTAATATTTCATAGACTGAGTTTTTTTTGTAAATACAGTTATGACCGTCACTTAATGATGGATTGTGGACGTCAGCTGTGATACAGATACTGTTTCTTGGAAAATTTTACAAGGAAATAATCTCAAAGTATTGTAGTTGAATAGCACAAAAATTACTCAGTCTTGAAAGCAGAGCATAAGAGCATATTTAGTGTTGAAACTGAGCAATTTCACTAAGAAACACTACAGCATTCTCAGTAATTGTGGAGTCTTGTAAGATAAGGTTGAAGTGTATGACCTTCCCCCCTCGGCAAGAATTATGTTCAAGACAGCTTGTGCTCCATTTGTCTTCAGATTCCCCTCCTGCCCAGTAAGTTGATGTTGGTTGGTAATTGTACACCACCAGTATTTGTCTTTCCCTTTTAAACACATCTGTCAAATTATTTGTCTGCATTTTAGCAATGGTGCTTGGTCGAATGCATCCCTGTACTCCTTGCACTAACCTGCCTACTTTCCACAATCCTGTGTGCCTCCCATCAACCTGGGGCCAGAGTGACAAAGCAGTTTTGCAAGTACTTACCTGTAAATCTTTTCTCAACCTTTCGCGGCTTAGTTTACAATTATTAAACAGTTAATGAGCTCCGAAGCACCAGGAGGCTGTTTATAACAACAACAGTTGATTGGGAAGTTTTCATGCTTGTCAACTCTTTAATAAATGTAACAAAAGCCATGAAAGATTGAGGAAAGATGTACAGTACACGTTTGTAAGTACAGTACTTGCGTAACTGCTTCGTGAATCTGGCCCCTGATATCCTTTCATCAGCCTGCCCATGGTACATGAGCCTGTACACCTTACTGGTGTAAGATGACAGATATGACTGACAATAGAGATCTATTGCCTGGATGACAATGATCCAGGCAATAAATCAGACGGTTAATAATGAAATTAAAGCACAGTACAGTATTACCAAAGGAAATGTGAAAGGAAGAGGGATTGAAGTAACAATACTTAATGCTTGCATTATTTAGGTAATATTGCATTCCCTTATATAGTGGGGTTTCATGTATTTTCACCACAGTATTCCATTTATGAATGGCTCTGTTCAGTGTGTTAAATTTCATTATTTTATCATTCTTGATTTTTTAATAGTTGTTATTGGGTTTTGTATGTCTTAGGCATACAGTACCTGTGAAGCAATACCATTTTTTTTTATATAGCAGATTGCCCAATTTTCCACAGCTAAAAATACAGTAATGTTAAAAAATGAGATTTGGAGAGTCAACAACTTATAAAAATCTTTTAATGTATGTATTAATCAACAAAATAATAATTTACTTTAGTCCAAGCAGTGGTAAATAAAAAGCCTTACTTGATTAAACTTGTTGCTAGATATCATTTGACTAACACGGACTACATTTTCTCTTCAGGACCAAATGGCTCAGCAAGGGAGCTGCCACATGTACAGCAGCTCGTCTGTGATGACCATGACAACGGGTCCTGACGGTCGACCACAGGTGAGTGGAGCAAACTTTTGAAACAGCATTCGCACATCTTTCCTTGTTATTGAGGGAATTACTCAATGAGTAGCTCTCGCATTTTCTACAGAGGTTCTGTATTTCTCACCATTTGTAAAGGAAATTGTATTACACAAGGAGTGAGGGAGTTCATGCTCAGGGATTACAGTATTTTTGTATTCGACCTTTGAAAGAACCATAATCATTTCTTACTTTTCTTATAAATTAGCAAATCATTTTTGTGAAGATTGGCTACCACCACAATCAATTTTCAGGTATATCAGGCCACATCCTCCACCAGGGGAGTTCCCGGTGGTGTCAGGGAAACACGTCGCACAATTAATGACAGTCGAACTGGGACACGGAAGATGGCTATTGGTCACCACATTGGAGATCGTTCACATATTATAGAACGTGAGCATACCTCAAGGAACATGGAAGAAAGACAGGAATTCATTAATCTTGATGAAGGTAGGTTTTAACTCTGTATGCATAGTGTTTCCCTTCAATGGCCTGTAATGTGTTCACAGGGACTAAATTGCTTGGAGCAATAGTGCCAAGAGAAGAAATTTTAGGAGCAGGATAGTGTTTTCCTTACAGTGCTGATAGAACAGCACTGTAAGGAAAGTGATGCACGGTTAAAATCACTTGGCTACTCATTTTTTGAGCAAGTTTTAAGTTGTTTCTAATAAACAGGGTTAATACTGTGATGCTGATTGCTCTCTATATTAAAGACCAACGAATTAATCTACAATAGCACCTCTAAAATCCAGACCTTCAGTTTAATGGAGCCATCTAAATACAATAAGATCAAATTTGCTACCAGATCACTTGGACTGATAACACTAATAAGACAGACACACACAGTCTTTAAAGGAATGCCAAGATCACAAAATGCATGAATTCACATTATCTACATAACCTGGTTGATACCTGGTTGCCCTGGATAACATAAACTTCTAGCAGGATGCTCCTGCCTCATGATTGTTTGACCACTATGAGAGAGAGAGAACTTTATCAACATTAAGGGCACGAGACTCAACACTCTCCCTCTATACTTAAAGGGCATAATAGCTGACCTTTCATGGTGTTAGAGACAATTTCATGAACACCTACAAAGAATACCTGATCAACCAGGCTGTGATTCGTATGTCAGGCTGCGAGCAGCTGCGTCCAATGGCCTGGTTAACCAGATTGCCAACCAGGAGGCTTGGTAAGAGACCGGGCCATGGGGATGTTGATCCCTGGAACCAACAACAGGTACACTAGTAAACAGGTTGCCTTGGATGCCACAGAATATAATTAAAATGCCAATGTAATAAAGTTTGCAAAAGTCTATTACACATACACACATTGGGCATGAAAGGAATAACAGGCAAAGTCAGAAGGTGAATCTTAAATTTCCTAGTGGACAGAACCCAAATATTCATAATCGGCTAAGGAAAATCTGAATCATCCACCGAGAGAAGCTCATTATGGTAGGACGATGATCTCGCTTCATGCAGGTTGGCATTCAATCCCCGACCGTCCAAATGGTTGAACACCATTGGGAGCCGGTCGGCCGAGCGGACAGCACGCTGGACTTGTGGTCCTGTGGTCCTGGGTTCGATCCCAGGTGCCGGCGAGAAACAATGGGCAGAGTTTCTTTCACCCTATGCCCCTGTTACCTAGCAGTAAAATAGGTACCTGGGTGTTAGTCAGCTGTCACGGGCTGCTTCCTGGGGGTGGAGGCCCGAGGCCGGTCGAGGACCAGGCCGCGGGGACACTAAAGCCCCGAAATCATCTCAAGATAACCTCAAGATAACCATTTCCTTCCCCCGTCCCATCCCAAATCCTTATCTTGATCCCCTTCCTTGTGCTATATATTGGTAATGGCTTGGCATTTTCTCCTGATAATTATCTTCCCCTTCCCTACGATACTGTACATGCTCAAGTTTTCTTTTTCTTATTCCTGACATAAGCTATAGTACTGTATCATATTTTGCAGATAATGCTAAGATTTTTATAAGAGGACATAGGACTTACCTCCAAACTGAGGTAAACCACGTCTTTCAATAGGTCACAGAAAACATGATGTTCAATGAAGTAAAGTTCCAACTCCTGTGCTATGGTAAAAACAAACAAAAAATACAAATTGGAACAACATATGAAATACAATAATACAGTACCACACTGTAGAAGGATTAAAGCAACATCTGGGAGTTATCATGTTGGATGACCTTACTGTTAAAGAGTACAGTAAAGCGACTGTCACAACTGCAACAAAAATGTTACTGATGTGGAGAACTTTTAACTGCCTGAATTCATTAAATAACATGTCTGAATTATTGGGACTGCTAAAAATCCCTCAAAATGTATTCCTTAGAATTCAAGAGAGGGGCATCATAATTTAAATCTAGAAAATATTTAGAGGGAGTTGTTCTAAATCAGCACACTGGAGTAACTGCTTAAGAGACCATAGAGCATGGGCCATTGTTTAAAAAGATTCCAATTGAAAAGTAGCGGTGCAACAGGTACCGAGGTAATTCTATAAACGTTGAAGGCTCATGACTTTTCAACACCCTCCCTCAAAATATAATGGGCATAAAAACTTGATAAATGCCTCCAAAGTGTACCCTGATCAACTGACCTGTAATTCATGTGAAGCTGCATGCTGTGGTACCTAACAGGCCAGGTCCCAAATTTGCACAGTAAAATAATAACACACTGGAGTGAAAAATAGAGGTGCCATAGGCACAATCAATGAACATATATGAACATAAAAGGTCCACAGTTGTTCAGTATCATCCCAGCAAGTATAACAAATATTGCTGGAACGAAAGTGGAAATCTTCAAGAAAAACTGGATAGTTTCTGCAAGAAGCGCTGGACCAACCAAACTGCAGTGGATATGTGGGGCCTGCGGACCACTCAAAGCAACAGCCTGGTGGACCAAGCTCTCAGTTCTAGCCTGGCCCCAGACCAGGCTTGGGGAGTAGAACTCTTAAGAACCTCATCTAGGTATAATCCAGGTAATAAGTTGACATCTGGTAATAGGTACAATCCAGGTTGACCAGGCTATCAACCTGGAGGCATAGTCAGAGACAGGGCCACGTGAACATTGATTCTTGGAACTGACTGAAGGTAATCTCAAGGTAACCATCACCAGGCTTTTAAGTAGCAGCTATGGGTACATCTTATGAAGATTATCAAGTATATAATATCCTTTTTCTGGCTCTGGAATTTTGTGGATAATTTTGCCATTGTTGTGTCCTGTTCTATGTATAGGATTAAATAACTTTTTGTACTTGGATAATTAAATTATGTATATCAGCAGATGACGGAAGAATGAATGAAATGAATGTTTTCTTTTTCTTATTCCTTATGTCAGGAATAAGAAAAAGAAAACTTGAGCATGTACAGTATCGTAGGGAAGGGGAAGATAATTATCAGGAGAAAATGCCAAGCCATTACCAATATATAGTTCAATTTAATGTTACCAATGAGAGAAAATATATGGACCAGCTGAATAATAAAGGTATTTGCAAACAGAGGAGGCGCCCCAGTTCGATCAAGAATTTCGTCGACGTACCCAGCAAGCCATGGGTGTAGGAGCTCTGGAATACCGGCCTAGACACCGCCCTTCTTCCTCCTACAATCCTCGTGGCTCTAGCGTCCCGGCTATAACTTCTTCTTCCAGGTAAAACTAAAGATCAATAGTTGTACAGGTACTTGTAACTCAATGTATGTCATACTGTGTACCATGTTTGTTATGTTTTTATATGCAAGCATATGTTAAAAAATGTATGTATACAGTAAGGGTTCTTGCATGTATCATAGTTTATGAATTTTTTACATTTTCATTTAGATTTTATATAGCCCAGTTTACTGTACTTTTGACTAAGAATCATTGAGCACATTATTTTGCCCTGCATTGGTGGGACACATTGTTAGTTATGCTTGCTTGCATGCATGTATGTATGCACTGAATGCATCTCTTAGGTGTTGGCCGAGTTTATTGTTCAGTTTCCATTTTATACTCGTTTGGACTCGCGGAGGAGCACTGAATGTTAGTGTCAGATGTTAGTGGTATGTTGTTATAATTTATAATAGTACAGTATTTTAAAGATACTGTACCAAAGTTGTGAAAAATACAATCAAATATAGTCAATTACAGTACATCCTATTCAAATACTTTGCATCCAGTGGAACCCACTAACTTACAGGTTATTTGAACAACTAAAAATACAAACAAATAATATCAATATAACTGGTGAAGTCATGGAATGAACTAATATTCATGTAACTGGATCACTTGATGCCAAGCCATGAGCGGTGAGAGGCCTAGTGTTTCTTTAGTCAGTGGTCGAGATGTGTGTACGTCCCATATCAGATTTATGACTTGCTAATGTTATTTTGTTTGGTTCAGTAGCATCACTTCTCATCCGGGATACTGTACTTTAATTTTTGTAGAGGAGCTGGGGGAGGAAACATTCCCAATAACTTTAATGTTGTGGTAACTGATGGGTTTCATTCCTGAGTTTGATATAATGTAGATGTATTTAAAAACAAAAGACAGAAAATATACATTCATCAAGGGGGCTACAATGCAGGAAATATCTGAGAAATCAGTTGCTAGCTACCATTTTCTGTTATTTTGTGTAATGTTTTAAATGTTGTAAAATAAGATTATTTATTTATTGCTGTAAAGAATGCTTGTTAGTAGACTTTGACCACACATTAATAAGTCCTGTGCATGGATTGCAGTAGAAGTATTTTATTAAAGGCACCAAGAAACTAGGAACTTATCATCTTTTACAAGTGCAAATGATGGAACTTAAGTCATTGTTTTAGTTGGCTAAGCGCCATTAAATTGTGTTTTTCAGATACAGAAGCCGATCTCGACCAATGCTTTCCATCACTGCTGGCCCAAGGTAAACCCTGGAGTACATCGGGTTACCCTGGTAAAGGTGTCGGCTCTTTCTATTTCTTATGGTATATGGAAGAAAATGAAGTTAAACAAATATTAATACCTTGATCTGCACATTTTAATAATAATAATAAAGTTTAATGTGGATAGGTAATAAATAACAGCAAATTGTTTCTGCTCTTTAATGCATGTTGGGAACACATTAGTTGATTAATAACAGGTAGAATGAGAGCATGTATTAATTTATTTGTAATTTTGTTAATTTTGGGGGGTTTATTACTTGCTCCACTACTTAAAAGATTACTGCACCTGAAGTCAAATAAGTCACAAGGGTTCTGATTAGCCTACAGGAACCCCAGTGCTAAAACCTGCTCCCCCTTCTCACAGAGGTGCAGAAAGCTAGTGACAGTTTGCAACCCCCACAGGCATCCAGAAAGGGGTTGTGAGCATTGATTGCATTTGAGGCCTGTTCCTTCGGCATGTGGCCTCAGTACCTGGGTGTCCTGTTATTCTAGCTGCCTTTAGGTAGTTTACTTAGCCAAAGAATCTTGTGGGACTCGGACATGGTTTGTTATGGATTGTCCCATCAAGCCCGTGCTCACTATATGCGAGCTCAAAGTGTGCGTGTTGTTCTTGCTACTGGACGATGATCATTCTTTCTGCCTGTGCCATATTGCCTGCACATGACACCCTCGACCTTGATTCCTGTGATATTTGCTGTCACTGGGTCTCAGGACTGACTGATTTGGCCTTGAGTTTTGAAGCTTACAGGAGCTGCCGCTTAATGAGCTAGGTTTGCTCGTGTTAAGTGTTTGCAGCATTGTGATAATTTGGATGCTCTGTAGTTTGTCCTTACTGTGTTTAGAGACCCAGAATTGGAGGGGTTGGTGACCTCCACCAATTCCATGCCCTCTTCCTTTCCCTGCTGATGTGGTTCACCATACTTCTGGTCTTATTTTCCTTCCTAATTCCGGTTCTGAACCACCTGAAGGTTTCACAGTCAGGTCAAGGTTTAGCTCAGGGTCAGTTTAGGCTCAGTTCAGCCTTCTTTGTGGTGTGGTTCCATCTACTTCGACAGCAGAGGCAGTTGAGCCTTTTAATTCTGCCAAGGGTTCAGGTTTTTTGTCTTTCCAAACACTTCACCTCTCCAAACCTTCTTGAAAGGACACCTTTGTGTCACAGGCATTGGGCGAGGGCTTTAGAAAAAGCCTAAAAAAGGGCTAGGGGTGAGGGCTAAAAAAATATATATTTATTTTATACACACGTCATTCCCTTTATTTGGCCTTCATGTATACCCGTTGATTATCCTATGCTAAAAGTCGGAGACTGATTTAGCGGACCATTCAGCAGTTAGTGAGGGTGCTACTTGGTGGTCCTTGTCACGCTAAGCAACACCTGCAAAGGTTTTGAATTGTATGTAAATTTGCTTTCTAGTTAAATACCAAGCAGAATTAAGTACTGTCCAGTGCCTTCTTAGCTATTTTGATTATTGTTCTGCTGCATATAATGTCTACCTAGCTTGACTCTACTAGATATTTACCTGAGGTTAGTAGGATCTTGCCTTAGGGAGCAGCGCTAAGGGAGATAGGTGATATATACAGAAGTTGTAAAATGAGAATTTGGAAGGTGTATCTGTTTGGGTGATGGAAAGATCATTTTGAGGGGAAGGTATACATGTTTAATGGGGAAGATAATATTGTAAAGGGAAGGTATGTATTGAGGTGTTAGATGTTAAGGAAAATGTACACATTAAAGGGGTACGGGAAAACCATTTACTGTACATGCAATTTAAGAGAGAGTATTAGGTATGCAAGTGAGCTTAACATTAAAGAGGCACAAGAGGTAGAATAGGTGAAGTGGAGGCTGCTAAAGAAGTCTCAGCAAGAGAAATGAACTTCAGCAAACCTGTAATGATTTTGTCTGTAAGGAGATTTAGACACGGCTCTTCAAAGCCAGAGAGTAGTAGCAAAAATTAATTTGGTAATTTTTAACCATAAAGGTGTTGAAGCTAACAGTAAAAAATAATTCATGCATTAATAAAAAAATTGAAAAGTTGACTTCCATATACCATCAAAAATCTAACCAATGTTGTGAGCTTCAACTAATTTGTACTTTTGTTGGTTTGCTTGTATAGTTTAAATGGTATGTAGAGTGTGTGTGTTTATATATATATATATATTTAGTATAATGTTTTTTAATGCAGTACAGGGAGTCCTCATAGTACATTACTACATTTTACCTTTGTTTTACATACACATGTACTCTATGGTGTTGATAAAGTTGGAACTTAGCATAAGTACTTCATCAAAATGTTATGAAACTACTATAACAATGAGTGGAATATGCCTGGCTAGTGACCCTTTAAAAACAAGAAATAGTATTAAACTAGAAGTAAAATTACAGTACTGTACCGAGTACTGTGTGTGATTTAACGCATCTTAGTTTCCCTTGGTGAAACGTTTCAAGAATGCACCTCTTTAGTGAGGATAATAGAACTATCAGGAGAAAGAGCCAAGCCATTATGAATAGCACTCGGAAGGGGGTCAGGATAAGGATTTGGGATGGGATGGTGGAGGGAAGGAATGGTGTCCAACCACTTACACGGTCGGGATTGAACAGCGACCTGCAAGAAGCGATACCGTCACTCTACAGTCCAGCCCAAGTGGTTGGAGACTTAAGAGTACTTGTCAGGTAAAGTGAATTAAAGCAGGGTAAAATCTAAGAAGAGCCATGTGCTGATGCAAGTGTATTGAGCAGTTTTGTTTTATACTGTATACACTTCTCATCCGAAGCAAGTGTTTGTCAAAACTGGTCTGGGTATTTTTTTTTTTAATAGATTCTAATACAGTACTGTACCATTTTATAGGTGGCTTTCATGAGTTATTTAACTGGCCTTAGAAGACTATACAGTATTATAGTCAATAGTTTTCTTCGGAACTAATGAAATGGTTGACATAATATTGGAAAAAAATATAATTATATTGTCTGTTAAGTGGGAGCCGGTCGGCCGAGCGGACAGCACGCTGGACTAGTGATCCTGTGGTCCCGGGTTCGATCCCAGGTGCTGGCGAGAAATAATGGGCAGTTTCTTTCACCCTATGCACCTGTTACTTAGCAGTAAAATAGGTACCTGGGTGTTAGTCAGCTGTCACGGGCTGCTTCCTGGGGGTGGAGGCCTGGTCGAGGACCGGGCCGCGGGGACACTAAAGCCCCGAAATCATCTCAAGATAACCTCAAGATAAGTTCACAAACAAGGAAAGGTGTAATATTTGTATGCTAGATATTTAATTGGTACCTATTGGTTTGGCCTCCAGTTTCCATTGATAGTTTCTTAACAAAACCACTTAGTAGTCGATTCATTCTTTCAAGCATTACTTTCAGTGAATACTGGTCTTTCATTCAGTCTTCTTGTACTTGTCCTTTGTATCTGCTTGATTACTTCTGGTTTTCAACTTTAATATAATGTATTTTTGCATGGGCAATCCTCAGCCTCTGTATCCATTCCAGTTCCTTGGTGCCAGGAAATGGTGATGACTTCATTGCATATTATACAGATCAACAGATTGAATCCTTTAGTAAAAGTTTGAGTGCTTCACATGAAGGTGGTTTAAATATATTTGAGAAATGTGAAGCTCACAGGCATCCTTTCAAGGAGTAGTAGTGCCAAGATAGGGCAACAGAATACTGTACTCTATATAGAAAAATTAGCAACTTTTAGTTTTTCAGGGAAAACCCCCCCCCCCCACCTTCCCCCCTCCTCATCAGTCATGTTAATGGGAACCAGAGCCAGAAGCTGACCCCTCACAAAGATTCAGGAAGTGAGTGACAGTGCTTTCAGAAAATGCTTTCTGAAACTCTGCAAAGCTGCCGCTTTATGAGCTAGGTTTGCTTGGGGTTAGGCATTAATGGCATATTGAGTGTTTGGATGCCATGGAGTCGGCCCCTATGGTGTTTAGGGACCTGAATGTGGTGTTGGTAACTTCCACCTGGGCTAAGTTCATGCCGTGGAAAATAATTGAGGGGCTGGTCCCTAACCTGCACACAGAAATAACATCACATGAGACCAGAAGACATGGCAGGATGTGCAGAATACCCCCGTTGAAAAGCAGAGGTGCAACAGGTACTCTGAGAGAGAACTCTATCAACATCAGAGGCCCGAGACTGTTCAACACGCTTCCACTACACATAAGGGGCATAACTGGCCGACCCCTCACAGTGTTCAAGAGAGAACTGGATAAGCACCTCCAAAGGATACCTGATCAACCAGGCTGTGACTCATACGTCAGGCTGCGAGCAGCCGCGTCCAACAGCCTGGTTGATCAGTCCAGCAACCAGGAGGCCTGGTCGACGACCGGGCTGCGGGGACACTAAGCCCCGGAAGCACCTCAAGGTAACCTCAAGGTAAGGTATGCCTACTCTTCCTTATGTGAATGTGGTCTGAACTTTTAACCCTTTGTAACTTCAGTCCTTTCTGTGGGGGGTCTTTGTGCTGCAAGGGGATCATTTTTCATATACCCCTCTATGTATAAGTGCTCAACTGCTTCCCCGTGGGATCTCTGCTGGATCCTTCATGATGCTTCAGTCCTCTTATTTCCAGAGGTTTCCCCCTCTTCCTGTGCTACACTCAGTGGTCGGCACGGATTTGCTTCTGTACCTCCTTAACTGATCTCTCTCCTACAGTGGACCCAGCCTTTTTTGAGTATGGGTTTGTGTGTCTGCTTATTGGCTACAGTGTGAGGTTTCGGTTCATCCTGGCTGGCAGACGACCCTCTCTTTACATTAAGGATAAGGACATGATGGGTTCTGTTTGACCCCCACACTTAATTGATGGGAAATAATTTTCATCTTTCAGGTGTTCCTGAGTGGCTCCTCTTGTGCTCCACTCATGAGGTGCCTGTTTGTTCCTGTGCTTCCCAAGGTTATTGCCAAGTGTCAACTGCATGAATTGTCTGGAGGATCACAGGGCTCATTCACACTTGGAGGTGGATGTTTGGGTCCTTGTGATGGGGGCTTTGAGCAAGTCTTGGAGGACGTGACATTGCTGGGTTCTGTCCCCCGAGTATGGAGGCCTTGCAACCTGCGGTTCCAGCATTGGCAGCCTTGCTTTAAATGCATGCCCTTTTCCTTTGGGAGGTGGTCGCTATGTTTTATTTGGCCCACCTCTCGTGTCAACAAGCTATGTTGGCCTGTTCATTAGCTTTGTTCATCATTCATTGGCCTGTTCATTAGCATTCATTAGCTAACAGGCTTTGGCCTGTTTTATCCTTTAACCTGCATTCTGCTTTTCACCTCTCATGCTTCCCATGGATGTTGTTGCATAAGTTTTGTCTTCAGTGGCCATTCTTGCTGTCACGTTGATCATTTGTTGTTTTTAGGGGTTCCCCCCTCCCTCCTCCCCCCCCCCCCCCCCCTGGCAGCCCAAATGCCAAATGAGGCAGCCTGGTAAGGTGACCATAGATGACCTTGCTGGCTGTTGGTAAGGGTAGGTCTATGGGGGGAGTCCGATTCTCAGGCAGTTATACTTCGAGGAGAGTTCCTCCTCAGCTTAACGTCACATCTATACAACGCTTCCGTGGATGGTTCTGCTTTGGTGTCCCAGCTCTTTTGGGTTTGCCCCTTTGACACTGCTGTGAAGGGTGGCTGGCTCATTTGTTGATTGGCTAATTCAAAGCATATACAGTACTACAGAATATTAATTGAGGCTGAATTTGGGCAAATGAAGTGTCCTAAATAGAGAAAAACTTGGAAAATTTATGCAATACAAGTATATTAAAAAAAATAAAAGATTTGCAAATCAATTTCCCCATTCTAATACCAGTTAAAAGGGTTCCATTTTGGCAATTCAGATTTGTTCTTGTGTAGGATTTAAGGCAAAGTTGCCAACTTTCCAGACAAAACACTTCTTGGTGTACTCGCCTAGTTGTGTCCTGCCTCTCAACTGTCAATCAACTGGTGTTCAGATTCCTGAGCCTACTGGGCTCTTATCACATCTACATTTGAAACCATGTATGGAGTCTGGCTCCACCACATCACTGCCTAATGCATTAGGCAGTGTCAGTGCCTAGGCATCAAGATACTGTGTAGATGATACACTGTATTGCTTCCATTTCCATACAATTTATCTACTGAAATTTGAAGTTTCCTATTTAAGGCAAGGCTTCCTGTGGGGTTTTTCCAGGTTGTGGGGGAGGGGTTGGGGTGATGACTGGGGGGCTTGTCAAATGAGTGTCATGAAGTCAGCTAGAAATGTCTCCAGTGAGTTAGGCAAGGCCCAGCCCTCTGGTAACTTTGCTTCCACAGTTCAAAATGGCTGTAGTCTAGGGAATGATTAGCATACTCTACTGATTGAAGTGAAGTGCAGCTTTACTTATAATTATCTTTATAAATTATCCCCCACCCCCTCCTTCCCCAAGTAACATCACATTGCTCTACCACCCCCACCTTTACGTTAAATCCCTGACCCCCACATAGATAGGAGACGAGATGTACATGTGCATACTAGGGTAGGCCTACGTTCCCAGAAGGGGCAGTACAAACTTAAACCAAAACATCCAAAATAATTTCTTCACTTGCCTAGTTACCTGGATACAGCTGACATGATCCCCATGCTCTCGCAAGGATGTAAGAATATGAATGGTGACTTGACTGTCAACAAAATAGGAGTTTCTGTTTACATCTACTTTAACCCTCAAACCGCGCATATCATATATAAATGATATCAGTGACAAAACCGAAACCGCGCGCACATTTATATATGATTTCGTGTCTAGCACTATAATTTAAACTCCCCGCCTGGGATAGGGGCAGCTATAGTACAGCCACGACCGATAGTTGCCAGATGCCACCTAGAAAAAAAATCCAGGCCAACATTCTTGGGTGTTACAGCGTCAGTATTGAGCAAGCCACCAAGGCTGGCGCACGCAGCACGAGCTCACAGCACCGCTGTTCAGCTTGTGACCACAGCATCGCCTACAAATACCATAATATATATGATACTGCTATTATTTAGCAGTGATAGTATTACTGAAGCCCCCTGACTGTGATAAAACTGACCAGGATTCTGATAATAGCAGGATTGTGGTGATATTTAGCGCTGTGCTCCATGGAGGGAGGCATAAGGCTGTGCGAGGGAGGGTTGTGGCGTCGTCTTCTGACTGTGTGTGGCCACCATTTATTGACTGCACTCACCATACCAGCTTAGTGGTTCGCTATGGTGAACACAAATGTAGATACTTATATATAACGTGTGTATAGAGGGTATAAACAGCAAGAGGAGTAGGTTGGGAGCCGCCATTTTGGTGAGGGCGGTGGCGTCGTCTGCACGACTTGGCATGGTGTTTACTGATGGCCACTATGGTCTTTGGGCACCATACCAGCTTATTTGTTCAGGTATGGTGAATAAAACAGGTAGATACTTATATATAATATGTGTATATAGCGTAATAACACCACAAACAATATTGTTGAAGGACAAATATTAGTGCGTCTGGCCTTGAGGGCGGTCGCCGATCAGCTGACTGTGTGAGTAGCTACGTCTTTGTGGCCTTTACTCACCATACAAGCTTAGATGTACAGTTATGGTGAACAAAACATGTAAATACGTATATATAACGTCTGTGTATAGTGAATAAATACGGAAAGAGTATTGTAGGAGGTGAATGAGGGTGAGTGAGGTGGTGTTGAGGGAGGGAGTGGCAGTGAGTGGCTCGCTGGTGTTTGGCGGTCACTCCTCGTTGCTTTTTGACTCGCAAGACCAACTTAGTAGTTCGTTATGGTGTACAAAACATGCAAATACTTATATATAACCTGTGTATATAGTGTAACAGCAAAACTATTTGTTTATTGTTTTATGAACATAATAATTGAATCACTAATATGCACACCATAATTTTGAGTACAGCGATGGTTCACACATTTTATAATATAAATATACCACAATTCACTGTATGGAATAATATTACTGCAAAAAAACTAAGAAAAAATCAATCAGAGACATTGAAATAATTAGGTAATAATATATTTGTGGCAACTGCCGTCTGACAGCTCAGGCGGAGTAGACCTCATCTGGCGAAGGCTCTGCCAACGCCCCTTTTTTGCCACACTTCCCTACCCTATTGCGGCTAAAATATGCCACCTACGATTTTTTTGTTATTTTTTCCGTGATCAGGGAACAAAAATGAACACTTCTATAAGACGAAAGAATTTTTTGGAATTTTTTTTTTGTTGCGCCTGTGGGTGTGAATTCCATTTGGGCCCCTAGCGGTTTGAGGGTTAAAGATGCAATACTTCTTCCTTACAGAAACATACATATAACTAACCCTGTAATTTATTAATTTATGATCAAATAACATTAAAGACCCATCACATTAAACAGGAAATAAAATGATCTTATATTCCCAAGATAAATAAACATGTATACCATTCACAAAATCATTACTCCTGCACTTCGTAGAAATTATGATTGTAGCGATTGATGGATTGTAAAGCAACAGGCCATTCTTCCTAAAATTATAGTACTTACAGCAACTATTTGACCTTATGTACCAATAATGTGCTGCTAGACTACCAAAAAGTTTATTTTGTAGTATTGAATTAGCCCAGATGGCATTCTAGAAAATAAAAAAATGTAACTAAAACCTAGCCTAAAATGTCCAAGCAATCCTAGGACTGTACAGTAGTACAGTATATATTTACATTATATTACATTGTCTAGGAATGTTTAATTTTAGTTTTTAGCTTTTATTTTCTCTCTGACTATAAAATTAATAGTACAAAAATGAACTTTTTGGGGGGTTTAACAGTACTCATTGGTACATGTTAAAGACCAAAGAGTTGCTAAAAAAACTACTGTACAGGCATACCTCAGTTTAAGAGTTTAATTGGTTCCTGGAGACGCCTCGTATTCCGAAGCTAATTTCCCCATAAGAAATAAAGGGAAATGAATTAATCCGTTCCTGACTACCCCAAAAACCCCACATCAAACTAAATTTTTATACCTAATTCATCTAAATAAACCTACAAAACTATGTTCAAGTTATTACTTACCTTGCTGTTGAATGCTGTAGGCGTATGGAAGATGGTGAGGAGGGGGGAGGAGGAGAGGAGTTACTGTTTGGAAGGGGAGTCCCCTTCAATTATCACATCAGGCAGTGAGGACCTTTCTGGTGTGCTCTCCCTGGGACGTTTTATGAGTGCCACTAGGTCCTGGTTGAGGCTCACTGCTCGATTTCCTCACCAGAAATCTGTCCAAACCCTGGCTTTCTCACAAATAATGGCCTCCGAAACACTGTCACCCCTTAACTCCTTGTCGTGTATCCAAATTAATAACAACTTTTCCACTTCAAGTATTTGTGGTCTTTGTTTTGTTATTGTTCTGACTCCTTTTGCCACTTTAGCACTCATAATCTCATTTTTCTTCTTAAGTATAGTGCATATTGTTGATGTGGCTTTGTTGTACTGCCTACAAAGTTCAACAACACGTGTACCGTTCTCATGCTTCCGAATGATCTCTTGTTTCTCCTCTAATGTCATCCTCACATGGGCTTTCTGGCCTTTATCCTTACCACTGGCTTTCTTGGGACCCATGGTGAGATATATAATAACAAATTGTATAGTCAAATCACCAAAAATCCAACTAAACACTGAAAATCTGCGAGAAGAATTGATGTGGGGTAGTCACTGGGCGCGAGACAATTGTAAACTGAGGGGTGGAGGGGCGACGATCGCCGAACCACCACGAGCTGGGTCGACCTGTACGCATATCAACAAACTCGTGTCCCGAGGTAACCCTCGCGTTCCGAGACATATTTTTCAAGGAAATCCTGCTCGTATTCCGAGGTACCACTGTACTGTCATTTTAGGAGGATGGGTTGGAGGGCTAATAGTATTTATATATTCTTCCATGTGTTGTAATAATGATAAATCATTAGGATAAATTACACACAAATTCCTTTAGTTTGTTTAAATTACACAAATTTAGTACAAATACTGTACTAACATTCCTAAAATTTTATTTTCAGTGAGGATCGTGCTCGACGGCGCGACAGAGAAGAACGTGGTTATCGGTCACACCGCCGCAACGAGCCAAACGTGTAACAGCTGATATTGTTATAATCTTTATCATTCATTATTGTATTTGGATTTCCTCGATATTTACTGATAGATATCATATATCATTTACTATAGTGGATATTATATTGATAGAACCAAGCAATTTAATATCATACTACCATTAGCCTTAAGAATGAGTTAGTTTCATTATAAAGAAATATGTAGTTAAAATACATGGATAGGGATATTTGACACGAGATATATTTGATGAAGTGATATAAGTAGGTTAAAACAATTTCACTGTATCAGCATATTTCATCCTGTTGTGCATAACATTGGGTTCACCCATCTATGTTGGTGATAATTTTCCCCTCTTATGAAGCAGTACAACAACATTTAAGTGTGTAAATATACTAGTGTATGATAGGGAACTTATTAAATGAAAAATGGAACCCATAATGGGCCTCTGAGCTTCTCCCAGCAACCTCTTTCATGGTTATGCACAAAAAAACAAAAATAAAAAAAAAAACACCTGTACGTTATTTGACAATATACATGACCTGATCGCTTAATCTTTATACACACACATGAAGATATATTCATTATTGTTGTTAGGATTACATAGTGAAGTTGAAAACTGTTGGGATTAGAAAGTTCACTTACAAATGGATTACTTTATATTGGTAACTATAGATATAAAAATGATAGTTTCCCCCTTATAAACAGTTGATTGATTTGTTCTTATTAGAATGTGGTAGTTAGCTTAAATTACATGACATGAATAGGTTAAGAATTCTTGAAGGTCATAAGAATGTTTTCAGAGGTGAAAATAGGATTATCCATCAGAAGAATGACATTCAACTTTGTGTGGTTACTAATGAGGCTTCCTTCAATGAATTACAAATACTAAGCCTGAATATAATAATGACTTTAGGAATGCATCGATTAACTTTATATTTGTGATGCAAACAAGTGCATCGCAAGAGGGTGTTCGCTGCCCGCACTTCTCAGGTGACAACGGTGGAATATGCACATCAAGTGCAAGACAGCCATATTTTTCCTGGTCTCCAAAAAGTTACCATTTTTGTACTGTATCCAACCTTGCTCTATTTATCACTGCCTGTGGCAAACCTCAAATAGTAAAGACCTTGATAGTAGTTTGTGTGAAATGCTAGAATGTACGTACCATTTAGATGTGTTAATTGAATCCATACTCGCCTCCTTGTTATGGTATAAGGAATATCCAATGTCTTATAGCTAGGAAAATGTAATGCTTTTTATCAGTGCGATTTGATCAGTGGTATTTATTTTGACAGGGTGAAGATGGTTTGTTTGCAATAATTGTTTTTGTAATAGGGATTGTCTGATATTTCTTTTTTACAAAATGTTAAAATAAAGGTTTTAAAAATTTGCTCATGTATTAAGGACATAACTTGTTTATCCACAACACTTTGTAGCAGTGATAAACATTTTAAGTATACAGTATTGTTTTTGTTAAACTTTATAAAAGTTTACAAAATTAAAACTTATTTTCTTATTTCATGACAAAAAGTGTGTATACTTTGAGCTGCTCTTTGTGTGGCAGTGTTAGGCATTTTAAATACTGTATTGTATTTAAGTTACTTGAATCTGTTTCAAAATGTTTACATGATAAGCACAAGACTAATAATTATAAATACACTGATTTAATTTGCATCTAAATACTGAAATGAGAAAAATCTATGAGCATATGCTTTATAAAGTTGTAGGAGTTCAAAAAATAAAATGTTTTTTTGCACAACAAGACTTAGTTCCCACAAGGATGATATCAATGATTACATTCAATGAAAATCCCACCATTTTCAGTTGTATGTACAGGTATTGTAGTTACTTACTATATTGAGGTTGTCTTGACCCATTACCTTCAATATTATCACCAATACATAATATTAGGACAAGTGGATCATCTAGAACAGGCACAAGTGTCAAGAGTGAACTCTAGCAAACAGAGGGACTGGATCTGGTATGAATGTTCACAGGAACATTACTACACAGACCGTTTCTCTGAAGATACTTTTCAACGATATTGTGGAATAAAGATAAGTGAAGTTGAGGTTACAGTTGAATTTAAAGTAATGTAACAATTATAGGACAAATGAGGACATAATTAATTTTTGTTTTAAATTATATATTTATGGTAATGCTGTATATTTAGGCAGTTTATGGATATGATGGCAACTGATAAATTTGAAGGAAAAAGTGGACTTTGCTAGGTCTCTACTTGTTACACCCCTACTTTTACCATACTGTGTACTATTGGTCAAACAGTTAAGCTTCAAAATTCAATTTGAGCAAGTATAAATTTGCCCATACATATAAATGGTGCATATGATTAACACAATTGCAACATTATGTAACATTTCAGAAAATGGAGAGATTGACAAACAACAGAGGTAGAGTGAGGTGAAAAGGAAAGTGTAGAGGAGAGACAATATGGGATAGAGTGGACTTGGAAAGGCAGAAAGAGTGGACAGAGGAAGAGGGGTATAACGAGTAAAAAGCATTAGCGCTTGAATTAGGGTAGATAGAGGTAGAGCTGTCGCCTTCCATTCATTAATTCCATTCCTTGTTTGGTAAACTTGTCTGTTCAACAGCTATTATAATAAATGTTAACTGTTAACCTTCATGCTTTACATGGTTGTAGTTTAATTATCAAGTCTGAATCTTTAAGTACTGTAATCTTCAGCATACTCTCCACACTAGCTTTCATAAATCAAGAAACAAATTCAATATCAGATTTAAAGAAGTTTAATTTTTTTTTTTTAGGTGTAATGTTGAAATATTATGGTCTGACCTCGAGACTTGATTATCTTTTACTTTATTAATTTTTTATTACATTGTTGCAGCATAGTGCCTCTTAAGCATTCTGTACATCATTTGTGGCTGGAAAAATGGTATTTAGTAGTAATATTCAGGTAGGCATTTTATCAATAAAAACAAAGGTGGAATTTTTAGGAAAAAAAACTTATTTGTACCATATTCTATAGCTAACATCATTGTAAATTCCTCTGCACAAGTGTATTCATGAGTGAATCTATGCAAATTGAAGGCTAACTAGCTTCATTTCACACACTTTCTTCATGCACATAGGGTGCTAACTTCACTACAAACCATGAATAAAAGTTTATTAACTAACATGCAGATGTTTAAGGACATTTTGCTTGCTACACCTTGATTTATGTGCTGTGGATGACCTAATGACCAGTGTATTTAGATTTAGGTTTTGTTTTATTATTAAGTTTCCTCAAAGTATTCCTATTATTATCAAGTTGTGCTTTTTTATTGTGTGTTTTAAAATGTAACTACTGACAGTGCCTAGTGTTTCTTGAGATACAGTGTCATGTTCTAGGAAAAAAAGGCAGTTCACAAAATCACGTAAAAGAAGTGACTCAGGAGAATGAGAAATGTAAACATCTAATATTTTTTGTATGGATGCTAAAACACCAAAGAATATGCCACCATCAATGCCTTATAGTTGGATGTACTATTATGGATTTCCTCTTTCTGCTTCTTTGGACTTTGTTCAAAGCTATTTATTGAAAATAAAAGTACTTTAAATTCTTTGAGTCTCTCTAAACTTTTATCTGTACAGTACTTACTATATTAACCCTTATGTTAAAATACTGTTAATGTTAAAAAACCCTTAAACTGCACAAAGGATCATATGATGCTTTCAGTATTTGTCGACAAATTGCGCATGGCATCATATGATGTTTGGGAGTACCAGACAAGATTTAAAAGTCCCGTGGCTACATGGGGGTTCACATCAGCTTCCTCAGGGCTTCTTGTAAACCCACTATTTAAAAAAAAAATCGTAGGCAACATTCCCGAATGCGAGAGCCTCGGTACCGAGTGAGCCACTAAGACTGGTGCAAGCAGCATCTCACAGCACTGCTGTTCAGCTTGTGACCACAGCATCCCCTAAAAATGTCAAAAATGTGTGTAACTGGTATTATTTAGTGATGATAGTATTACAGAAGACCCCCTGACTGATATAAATGACCAGGATTCTAATAATAACAGGATTGTTGTGATCATTTGCTCTGTGCATAATATTGTGGGAGGAGGGGAGGGAGGGTTGTAGCGTCGTCTTCCAAATCGGTGTGGTCACCTATTACTGTCTGCACTCGCCATACCAGTTTAGTGGTTTGCTATGGTGAACACAAATGTAGATACAGTGGTACCTCGGAATGCGAGTGTCCCTGTATGCGAGTTTTTCGGAAGACGAGCAGGATTTCCTCGAAAAATATGTCTCGGAAGGCGAGGGTTACCTCGGGACGTGAGTTTGTTGATACGCGTACAGGCCGACCTAGAGCGTGGTGGTTCGGTGATCGTCGCCCCTCCACCCCTCAGTTTACTATTGTCTCGCGCCCAGTGACTACCCCACATCAATTCTTCTCGCGGATTTTCAGTGTTTTGTTGGATTTTCGGTGATTTGACTATACAATTTGTTATTATATATCTCACCATGGGTCCCAAGAAAGCCAGTGGTATGGATAAAGGCCAGAAAGCCCATGTGAGGATGACAATAGAGGAGAAACAAGAGATCATTCGGAAGCATGAGAACGGTACACGTGTTGTTGAACTTTGTAGGCAGTACAACAGAGCCACATCAACAATATGCACTATACTTAAGAAGAAAAATGAGATTATGAGTGCTAAGTGGCAAAAGGAGTCAGAACAATAACGAAACAAAGACCACAAATACTTGAAGTGGTAAAGTTATTAATTTGGATACACGACAAGGAGTTAAGGGGTGACAGTGTTTCGGAGGCCATTATTTGTGAGAAAGCCAGGGTTTGGACAGATTTGTGGTGAGGAAATCGAGCAGTGAGCCTCAACCAGGACCTAGTGGCACTCAGATAAAACGTCCCAGGGAGAGCATACCAGAAAGGTCTTCACTGCCTGATGTGATAATGGAAGGGGACTCCCCTTCCAAACAGTAACTCCTCTCCTCCTCCCCCCTCCTCACCATCTTCCATACGCCTACAGCATTCAACAGCAAGGTAAGTAATAACTGGAACATAGTTTTGTAGGTTTATTTAGATGAATTAGGTATAAAAATTTAGTTTGATGTGGGGTTTTTGGGGTAGTCAGGAACGGATTAATTCATTTCCCTTTATTTCTTATTGGGAAATTAGCTTCGGAATGCGAGTTTTCGGAATACGAGGCCTCTCCAGGAACCAATTAAATTCTTAAACTGAGGTATGCCTGTACTTGTATATAATATATATATATAGTGTAATAACAGCAAAAGGAGTATGTTGGGAGGAGCCATATTGGTGAGGGAGGTGGTATCATCTGCATGACTTGTCATGCTGTGTAGAGGACAGCCACTATGCTCTTTGGGACATTACCGGCTTAGTTGCACAGTTATGGTCAACAAAACTGTAGTTACGTAGTTCGCGGGGGAGAGGATGGACGTGTCGTCGTCGCGCTCTGTTAAAACACTGGAATAAACCGGGCTTTTTTAGGATTACAACCATGGATTACGGCCCACAGTGATCACCAAGTGCATAGTGACCCGTAGGAAAGTTGAATACAGAAATTAACAATGGAACTGAGTTTTTTTGTTTTTTTTTGAGTAAAGAGGAAGGAGAGGCATAGGTGAAGGGAAGTACAGAAGTGGGAAATACAGCGAGAGGTATGAAAGCAGGCGGGCTGCCCGCCTTGCTGACACAATGTGTGGGTGTTGGCAGCTAAGCTAAGCTTGCTCCCTCCTGTCAGGGAGCTGTGTGTGTGTGAGAGGTTCTTCACATGTGTTTCACCATATATGGATGTCCATAGATGAATACTGTGTAGCATTCATATATGCACACTCCAATGCTTCCACACAGTACCTTCCTCCCTTGGGTAAAAGTGACCATGTCTTTTTGGGAATAAAGTATGCAATGCGTTATAAGCTGGAAGAAAATAAGGAGGTTGAAGCAGTTGAAAAACCAGACTTAAGGAGAGGACATTATGGTGACCTTAGAAATTTTTTTAGTGAGTATAATTGGACAGACTTGATGCTAGGCAAGGAAGTGAATGAGATGTATGTCAAGTTTTGTGAAATATATGATAAAGGCACAAAAAAATTTATACCAAAACAGAGATGCAGAACTAGGAAACAGGATTGGTTCAATAGAAATTGTGAGAGGGCTAGAGACCAAAAGACACAAAAATGGAATCAATACAGGAAGAGGCCGAATCCCCAAACATACCAGCGATACAAAGATGCGAGAAACAACTACACGGCAGTGAGGAGAGAGGCAGAAAGAAATTTTGAAAAAGGGATTGCAGACAAATGTAAAACAGAACCAGGTCTATTCTATAAATTCATAAACAACAAATTGCAGGTAAAGGATAATATTCAGAGGTTGAAAATGGGAAATAGATTCACGGAAGATGAAAAGGAAATGTGTGAAACACTAAACGAAAAGTTCCAAAGTGTGTTTGTACAAAATGAAATCTTTAGGGAACCAGATACAATAAGAATTCCAGAGAACAACATAGAGCACAAAGAGGTGTCTAGAGACGAAGTGGAAAAAATGCTCAAGGAGCTAAGTAAGAACAAAGCAGTTGGTCCAGATGGAGTTTCACCATGGGTTCTGAGAGAATGTGCACCTGAGCTCAGCATTCCACTTCAACTGATTTTTCAGGCATCCCTGTGTACAGGAGCTGTAGCTGATGTGTGGAAAAAGGCTAACATAGTTCCAATCTACAAAAGTGGAAACAGGGAAGACCCCCTTAATTATAGACCTGTATCATTGACAAGTGTAATAGTCAAAATATTGGAAAAAATAATTAAAACTAAATGGGTAGAACACTTGGAGGAAAACGATATAATATCAGACACAGTATGGTTTTCGATCTGGAAGATCCTGTGTAACGAACTTGCTCAGTTTTTATGATCGAGCCACAGAGATTTTACAGGAAAGAGATGGTTGGGTTGACTGCATCTATCTGGACCTAAAAAAGGCTTTCGACAGAGTTCCCCATAAGAGGTTGTTCTGGAAACTGGAACATATTGGAGGAGTGACAGGTAAGCTACTAACATGGATGAAAAATTTCCTAACTGACAGAAAAATGAGGGCCATAATCAGAGGCAAGGTATCGGATTGGAGGAATGTCATGAGTGGAGTACCTCAGGGTTCAGTTCTTGCACCGGTAATGTTCATTGTCTACATAAACGATCTACCAGTGGGAATACACAATTACATGAACATGTTTGCTGATGATGCTAAGATAATAGGGAAGATAAGAAACTTAGATGATTGTCATGCCCTTCAAGAAGACCTGGACAAAATAAGTATATGGAGCAACACTTGGCAAATGGAATTTAATGTGAATAAATGCCATGTTATGGAATGTGGAATTGGAGAACATAGACCCCACACAACCTATAAATTATGTGAGGAAATCTTTAAAGAATTCTGATAAAGAAAAGGATCTAGGGGTGGTTTTAGATAGAAAAATGTCACCTGAGGACCACATTAAGAACATTGTGCGAGGAGCCTATGCTACACTTTCTAACCTTAGAATTGCTTTTAAATACATGGATGGAGAAATACTAAAGAAATTGTTCACGACTTTTATTAGACCAAAGCTGGAATATGCAGCGGTTGTATGGTGCCCATATCTTAAGAAGCACATCAACAAACTGGAAAAGGTGCAACGACATGCCAGTAAGTGGCTCCCAGAACTGAAGGACAAGAGCTACGAGGAGAGATTAGAGGCATTAAATATGCAAAAACTAGAAGATAGAAGAAAAAGAGGCGATATGATCACTACGTTCAAAATAGTAACAGGAATAGATAAAATTGATAGGGAAGAATTCCTGAGACTCGGAACTTCAAGAACAAGAGGTCATAGATTTAAACTAACAAAACAAAGCTGCCGGAGAAATATACGAAAATTCACTTTTGTAAACAGAGTGGTAGACGGTTGGAACAAGTTAAGTGAGAAGGTGGTGGAGGCCAAAACCGTCAGTAATTTCAAAGCATTATATGACAAAGAGTGCTGGGGAGACGGGACACCACGAGCGTAGCTCTCATCCTGTAACTACACTTAGGTAATTACACTTAGGTAATTACACATGTTGTTCTGTATAAGGCTCTTTATTTCAATATTATTATTTATCGAGTTGTTCATACATATTATTATTTATCGAGTTGTTCATACATATTATTATTTATCGAGTTGTTTATATATACACATATATGAATTGTTAGTTTTCTTTATGGTGTGCAGTGGTACTGGGGAATACTCTAGATGCAGCCGAACTAGAGCCTTATATAGGTGGATCTGAATGTTAGTACTGAGGCTTCGGAATCTTCTCAGTTTTCCTAATGCTGCTTTGGCTTTGTTTAATCGGTCCCTTACATGAATTTGTATCCCTGTTCTATTTATCATAAGTCCCAGTATTCTGCCTACCTCCGCATATTGGATCGGATGGTTGTCAAGGATGATGGGGTCCGGGTTTCTTTTCGCAATGTGTATTATCTGAAACTTTTGTTTGTTGGTGCTAATTTTCCATTGCTTCTCAAAGTTGTTTATGAGTTCAATTGCCGCCTTGGTC